TTTCTCTCTATGGAGTCCTGACAAATGCAGCTCAACTATGCAATGTAAGGGAGACCAATACATGAGTGTTGTTAGCAAAGAATCCTTCATCACATGTCCTTTCACATGCTTGCTTTAGCAGAACATCCTTTCTCCTGTGTCTGCTTCAGTGTCCTTCATGAGTCTGCCTTAGCCTTTCACCTGTGTCCACATCAGCTAACCGTTCCTTCATGTGTTTGCTCCAGCAAAATACCATCCAACCAACTTTCCAAAGAAGCCCTAAGTTTTCACTTCACAGACTTTTCTCTTTTGGTCTCTGGCCACCATGAACAGCTTCATTCCACCACACACTCCTTGTCGTGAGCACTTGACACACTCCAGGCTCAGAAACCATAGAGCCAAACGATCAAAAGCTAAAACAAAAATCTCCTCTCCTAAGTTGCTTTCCTCGGTATTTTGGTCCAGCAACATGCTGGGAGTCTGAGCTCAAGGCACCTGCAGACTCAGTCTCTGAGCCCCGTGTCACCCCACTCCCATATCACAGGCTGATGGCTGCCTTCCCATTGTTTCCAATAAGAAGAAGGAAGAAAGGAGATCTAGGGGACCCTCATAACCTGATCACACCCCCCACCAAAGATCCTGCAACCTGATACTACCACAGTGGGAGGTAGAGTTTCAAATTGGACTTAGGGGAGGGTGTCACCATTCAGTCTGTAATACTGGAATAATAATTAAACGGGCCAAAACACCTAAAATATTACATGTGCTCAAAAATACTGGCTGCTAGTTGTATTCCTTCGTGGGATAACATGGCTAGACTGGGCTAGATGTCAAAACCAGTAAAGACACATGTCCTCAGGAATGACAACCTGCTAGGCAGTAGTGGCACGTGCCTTTAATCCTGGCGTAGGTAGGCAGATCTGAGTTTGAGGTCAGTCTGGTCTACAGAGTGATTTCTAGGACAGCCAGGGCTACACAGAGAAACCCTGTCTTGGGAAAAATAAATAAATAAAACAAAAAACAACCCCAGGACCACATGGCAGAAAAGACCAACTCAGAAGTTGTCTTCTGATATCCAAATGTGCACCATGACATGTGTGCCCACCAAGCACACATACACATAAATCAAACATAACTTTTTAAAAAGACACATGAAACAGCCAGGCGTGGTGGACACAGCTTTAACCCCCTCACTCAGGAGGCAGAGGCAGGAGGATCTTTGTGAGTTCTTCAAAGCCAGCCTGGTCTATATAGTGAGTTCCAGGACAGCCAAGACTACACAGAGAGACCCTGTCTCAAGAAAGGCAAATCAAACTAAAACAAGAAGCATTGCTGACCCATTTGCATGAGCTTTATGTCTCTACTTCACTTTTTACATATACTCCTGGATATAACATACTGAACATTTCATAATTCTTTCCTTATTTTCCATCAGGCCTTAGATTGTCTTTTCTTCAGAGAAGGCCCTGCTGTCCACTCTGAATAAATAAATTAGGTCACCACCGTCACAATCTGCCTACCACTACTTCATTTGTAGTGCTTATGGTTTTTAAAAATTTATTTTATGTGCATTAGTTTTTTGTCTGCATATATTTCACTGTAAGGTTATCAGATTTTCAGAATTACAGACAGTTATGAGCTGCCATCTGGGTGCTGGGAATTGAACCCGAGTCCTTTGGAAGAGCAGTCAGTGCTCTTAACCATTGAGCCATCTCTCCAGCCCCACGCTTATGATTTTTAATGGTCGAATTTTCTGGCCTATTTGTTTATCGTGCTCATTAAAATGTAACCGAGTTAGGAATCATGTCTGTCTTATTGTTTTATTTATATTGTTTTATTTTTAGTGCGTAGTCTGACCCTTGATACAACGTAGTTCCTTGGATATTATGGGGGGATGCAAAGCTAGATGAATAGATTAATGAAAAAAATGAGTGGATGGATAGATGGATGAATGGATAGGCAGACAGATGCATGCAGATTAATAATTAGATACATAAGAAGGCAGATGGATCAGTATGATGGACGACTAACGGGATGAGAGGAAGCTATGTTCCGCACATATTTTCTGGCAAATGGATGCATGGACTGAATGGAAGCTCAGACTTCGGAAGGAGAGCCTCGCTGGCGCAGTAAGAATTTCGGCTCTACTCCTGCAGAGGACGCTGCAGAGCCACGCCCACTGGCCAGCTGCACAAAAGGCGAAGCTGGAGACTGCAGCGCGCGCAGCCGCAGCTGGACAGACACTGCGGTGTTGGGGGAGTGTCCTGCGCAATCCCGCACTGCGGCACTCACGCACTTTGCTTTCCTGCTAGGCGAGTCACCTTGGCTCTGCGCTCTTGGCCGCCTCCAAGGCCTCCCGTCTTTAACCGGGAAAACCCAGGAGCCAGGAAGCTAGTGTGCGGGCTTGATCCTCCTACCTTTGCAAGCTATGGACCTCCTGGAGTACTCGAAAGGAGATCGTTGGTAGGCTGCCTTTCAGGGTCGGTGGGCTCGAGCTGAGCTGAAGCCCAGCCTCAGGGGAGGGAGCCGATAGGAGAGAGACCTGGGGATGCAGTGCTAGTGCGCCCGGGGGAGGTGGAGAGTTGGGGGCTGAGCCCAGGTGCTTCCGGCTCATGTGGCATGCGAAGCCTCTTGTCCTTTTTTTTTTTCTTTTTTCTTTTCTTTTTTTTTTTTTAAAGATTTATTTATTTTTTATATATGAGTACACTGTAGCTGTGTTCAGACACACCAGAAGAGGGCATCAGATCTCATTACAGATGGTTGTGAGCCACCATGTGGTTGCTGGGATTTGAACTCAGAACCTCTGGAAGTGCAGTCAGTGCTCTTAACCACTGAGCCATCTCTCCAGCCCCCCCTCTTGTCCTTTCTTACACAGGGTCCTCGGATTGTTGATACCCCGTCCTTCCAAGCTGATAAGCCCAGGACTCTGGGATGGGATGTTAGGATTCCTGTGTGGCACCTTGCTGTGAACCCCTTCCCAAGGGCTTGCTTCCCTGATGGGCCTTTGCCGCAAGGCCCTCTTGACACCAAGGATGATGACGCACCCAGCGCCTCTCCCCCCACCCTCCACACTCACTGGTGGGTGCCACCGTCCAGGAAGCAAGTATCCTGGTAAGTGCTGCAGACACATCTTGAAGCCTGAGTGGCACCTAACTTTAGCCTTCCTATGGGCACCAGCAGTGGGGTGGGGTGGAGTTCAGCCAAGTTCTGAGGACAGCATGGCAAAGACCCCGTGGAGGAAAGCCTGGTGGGGGACTTGGGAGTCTGGACTCAGGCCATAAAAGACCTCAGGTCCTATTTGAGTTGGTTCCTTTATTCCCAGGTAGGGAAGTTGCAAAGGCAGATCTGGCTACTTGTCTTATTTTTTGAACCCTAGTGTCTGGCTGCATGGTTGCTATGCCATATGAACATCATTTTGAACCTAAGTTGGTCTTGTGGGTGGCAGGTAGAGCCTTACCTGAATGGATGATTTCATAGAACTGAGGTCTTTAAGCCGGTGGTCGGACAGTCAGCCACTATTTTTCCATTTGAGGTTCTTTGGCAGGAGACGGGATAAAAGAACCTTTTAGAGCCGCTGCAGTTTATGAGAGCTTGCAGAAATTATGTGGAAAATGTTCTCTGACATAGGTGATTTGTTGCTAGTTTCTTTCTTTGTTCACGAGAAAAATGCTGTGTCACAAGAAAATGCTGCGTCACAGTAGTCCAGCCTCTGGGGTATCTGCGTCACAGTAGTCCAGCCTCTGGGGTATCTGCGTCACCAGTAGTCCAGCCTCTGGGGTATCTGCGTCACCAGTAGTCCAGCCTCTGGGGTATCTGCGTCACAGTAGTCCAGCCTCTGGGGTATCTGTGTCACAGTAGTCCAGCCTCTGGGGTATCTGTGTCACAGTAGTCCAGCCTCTGTTGTATGTGGCTGTTGGATCAGAGACTTTTCGTGTACTGTCCAGGACAGATTTGATCGGGTGACATTTAGATGCCTATTTAAATGCTTCTTGTTTATTGCAGAATTGACAGCTCGGTGCAGAAGGGACACGAGAGGTGTCTCTGTCCTGCGAGGAAGCAGCTGGACCACAGCGCTCCCAAGGTAAGGTCTGAACTTAAAATGGCTGCCCTCAAGGGATGCTCACAAGTTCCCAGGAATGAGATAAACTGGGAAGTAAACAGACAGAAGATGAAGGCTGCTGCATCCCTGCACCCCTCCCCCCAAGCCCAACGTTTTATTCTCCCTTGGGCCATTGACGTACATCTAATTTCTGTTGTGCCTGCTTCAGTTCTGAGTCCTCTGCAATGCCTCTTCCTTTGGTGTGTTAGCAGCAGAAGGTCTGAATCAGACACAAGAGAATGCTGCACCATATCTACCTGTACCTAGGTCTGTCTTGGCTGGGGTTCCTCTTGCTGCAGTGAAACATCATGACCAAAGCAGCTTGGGGAGGAAAGGGTTTATTTGCCTTACACTTCAACATCACTGTTTATCATCAAAGGAAGCCAGGATAAAAACCCAAACATGGCCAGGAACCTGGAGGCAGGAGCTGATGCAGAGCCCATGGAGGGGTACTGCTTACTGGTTTGTTCCCCATGGCTTACTCGGCCTGCTTTCTTATAGAACCCAAGACCACCAGCCCAGGGATGGCCCCACCCACAGTGAACTGAGCCCTCCCACATCAATCACTAATTTTAAAAAATGCCCTACAGGCTCGCCTACAGTCCAATCTTATGGAGGAACTTTATTAATTGAGGTTCCCTCCTTTCAGATAACTCTAGTCGGTGTCAAGTTGACATAAAACTATTCAGGACAAGGTCTCATTCTCCAGAAAGCAGAACAACTAGACTGTTTTTCCTTAGGATCAGGAACCCCCTTGTTCCACAACCTAGGAACACTTGCTTTGTGTGTTCCTTTTGTCTCCCCTGTTGTGTGGAACGAATTTTTACAGGCTTAGATATATTTCCTAGGTCACTGTACTCAGCTGAGCAGACTGCTCTACGATTCTGCATTTGACAGCAGGTCCTCCACCTTCTCTGGCCCCACGTTCGTAAGTGGTCAGGGGATACACATACCCTAGCCATTGGTAGTGCAGAGGAAATGTGGGAAGAACTGTCCAGTGTTTGGAAGGTCCACACCCATGCCTTCCAGTGCTGGGATGTTTCCTACACTGTGGTCTCTCAACTCTGTGTACATGTGGGCCTTTAGGGGATTAGAAACACTCATGTGTACATCATTACTGTCACTGGGGCTTTTGCTTCCTGTCCTGGATATTAAGTTCTCCCAGATGGCTGCAAGGTCACTGCCAGTCCACAATGCCACACTCGGACAAACCTGCTGTTTGAGTCCATTTCATCCTGTTGGGCATTCCTTATATTGGTGGTGACTGCCCTGCTACACCACCATTTTAGGAGTTAGAGCCAACAATGGGTTTGTTTTGGAAATAAGAACCAACAGCTTTAGGAAGCTTACTGACTGGTTACTCCTGTGCCAACCCTTTGCTCCGTAACCACCATGCCCTGCTGTGAGCAGTGGCAAGCTGGGTACTCCTCAGGTTTCATGAGCTTTGCAGGTGACGTCACTGTATATAGAGGCATCCTGGGAGTTGTCCTGTCAGGAACATTCCAGACCCACCTGTGTTTGAACTCAGATCATTCTCTTGTCCAGTCCATTGGATACATTGGTCCCTTGCATCCAATACAACGCCATACTTGTTGCCATGGGCTTTCAGTGATGACACGGGACTCCTGCTCCATCACTCTCTGAGTCAGGCTCAGAACTTCAGTTTCAGCATTTGAGAAATAAAAGGATAGCCGAATGAGGTGGTACATACCTTTAATGCCAGCGCTTGGGAGGCAGAGATCTCTGTGAGTTTGAGTCCATCCTGGTCTACAGAGCAAGTTCCAGGACAGCCAGTGCTACACGAAGAGAAATCCTGTCTCTAAAAATGAAAACAACAACAAAAACAAACAAACAAACAAAAACCAAAACAAAACAAAAAAAAGAAAGAAAAGAAAGGAAGGGGCTGGAGAGATGGCTCAGCCGTAAAGAGCACTGACTGCTCTTTTAGAGGTCCTGAGTTCACTTCCCAGCAACCATATGATGGCTCACACCACCTATAATGGGATCCGAGGCCCTCTTCTGGTGTGTCTGAAGACAGTGTACTCACATATATAAAATAAATCTTTAAAGAAAAAAAAAGAAAGGAAAAATAAGACAATGACAGAGGGGGAGATAACTTCCGTTCCACTTGAGCTCATGTGTCTGTCCCAAACCCTTATGCCTCCTGGTAGCTCTGCTCAGGGAATTTTCTTTGGTTATCCTTGGCCATGTGGCATTATGGGGCCTTTGTAGGAAAGAAAGACCTTGGCAGGGGAGCTATGCTTGCCTAGACTCTTCCCCTGGACTCCACCCTGCAGGCCTCTGGTATCTGCATCTCTTCTTGGCCTCATGTCTGTTCCCATGTATGCACCTGCATTTAGAAGCCGACCATGGGCTGCGTGTGCTCTGGTCATCCATGATGCAGGGAGAGGAGTTGCCGAAAGCCATTTCCCGTGTTTGAAGGGTCCACTCCTCCCTCTCAAATGCTGGTGCTTTCACACACTCCTGCCAACATGTCACCTCCCCACAGGACATGGAGCGCTGCGGAAGAGTCATCTCGGTTTCGTTCTGCTTTGTTTTGCTTGTTTATTTGGAGACAGGGTCTCACCTTGTAGGTCTGGCTGGCCTGCCTCTGTCTCCCAAGTGCTAAGATTAAAAGAGACATATGCTGGGGCTGGAGAGATGGCTTGCCAGTTAAGAGCACTTCCAGAGGTCCCGCAACCACATAGTGGCTCATGACCATCTATAAGGGGATCTGATGCCCTCTTCTGGCCTTTGGGTGTACATGCAGCAGAGCACTCATATATTAAGTAAATAAATAAATAAATAAATTTATATTTTGGCTTGGGCTTTCTCAGCTTGGCTCCCTGCTATCAGAGACCAAGGTTTTGACACACTCGAGGATCTAGGAAGGCCAAGGTGAATTACACATAATGTGTGATATGTACTCCCCACCTTTTTTTTTTTTTTTAATAGAGAAGGTTTTTATAGAGAAGCTATCTTTCTGTGTTTCTTTTCTTGAAACATACTCTCTCTGGAGTCCTTTAATTCACTTTGTGACCCAGGCTGGCCTTGAACTCACAGAAGGTCTCCTGCCTCTGCCTCTACCTCTGCCTCTGCCTCTGCCTCTCTCCCTCTCTGCCTCTCTCTGCCTCTCTCTGCCTCTCTCTGCCTCTCTCTGCCTCTCTCTGCCTCTGTCTGCCTCTGTCTGCCTCTCTCTCTGCCTCTCTACCTCTCTGCCTCTGTGCCTCTGCCTCTCTGCGCCTCTGCCTCTGCCTCAAGTGGCTGAGATGAAAAGCATGCACCACCACGCCTGGCAGAAGTCATCTTTTGGACTTGATGTACATGCCTAAGTGGCCCTTTGAAGAAATTCGAGTCAATGGAAAAAGGAGACTTACAGGAGAAGTCATCAGAGGGACTCTGAAGTTGACATGCAGGCCACTAATGACAGCATATAGGGAAGGCTGCTGGAGGGAGGGACCTTGATGGGAGGAACCCTGAGAAGAAGTCTCTGAGCTATGTTTCTGTCATTTATGTGACTGCTCAGTTGTCCTGTGGGGAGCTGTTTTAGATTCATAGGACTGCATTGGTGTTCACTTTCTGTCTGTCGTGACTTAGGAGCGTACTACTCAACATCAGTGTGGAAAGACCAGAGAACATGACTGTCTCGCCATGATCACCTGTGGGGGCCTTATCCAGGTGAGCTACTGCCAGACCACTGGGTCAGAATATACAATCTGGAATGAAAATTATAAGCTGCTGGCCTTGCCTGATTTTCTGCCTTAGGCTATGGTGTGGTATCCTTAGGTGTCCAGGAAGAGCAAGGTTGCTGCCGTGCAACATGCCTCCAGACCTTATTGCCATCAGCTCACCGTCTAGGAACGCCTTTTTACTTTGGTAGGTATGCAGAAGGAAGGGCCTTGACTCTGGAGTCTTGGGGACCAAAGTTAGAGACTAGCTAGTTCTGTCCCTCCCCTTAGAGAGAGAGCCACAGAATGCCAGGTGGCACTGAGGTCCTTGCTCTCACAAATAAGCACTCGGGAAACCAGCAATATTGAACACGCAGGGTTGTCTCTTCAAAGGGAGAGATATATATCCTGTTTTCCTCCCAGAAGGCTGGGGGCGGAGGTGTTTAATATCCTGGCGAACTTTGTGCTATCTGTATGACCAAGACCTTGCCAGTTCCTCCCCCAGAACCTTAAGGTATCATTAGAATCAGTCAGCTAGGAGGGCGGTGCATGCCGTTACTTCCAGTATTCTGGTGGCAAAGGCGGGTGGATCTCTGCATTCCTCCCCTAAACCCTTAAGATGTCATATGTAATCAGTCACCTGGGTGGTGGTGGTGTTGCATGCATTTTCTTCCAGGACTCGGGTGGCAAAGGTGGGTGGGTCTCTGAGTTCGAGGCCAGCCTGGTCTCCAGAGTGAGTCCAGGTCAGCCAGAACTACACAGAGAAACCTCTGCCTCGAAAAACAAAAAACACAAATAAATAATTTTTAAAAAGGTGTCACGTGTAGTCTTTACGGAAAATGTCACCTGTACTTTACAGATGTAGTCATGGCTTAAAAGCTTTATTATGTTGATCTACCTGGTATCAGACTCTTAAAGTTTGAACCAACATTTAGCCGGGCGATGGTGGCGCACGCCTTTAATCCCAGCACTTGGGAGGCAGAGACAGGCGAATCTTTGAGTTCGAGGCTAGCCTGGTCTACAGAGTGAGTCCAGGACAGCCAGGATTACACAGAGAAACCCTGTCTCAAACATAGAATTAAGTAAACTAAAGTAATAAAAACACTTGAATCAACGCTGGCTACCGAGTTATGTTGAGCCAGATTGCCTTTTTTACCTTCCTTGGGTTATCACCCAGGCTGGTTGAGGTGCCTGCAGGGACCCCCACGATGGTGACCAACATGAGGGGCTCCAGTCTTGGAGATGGTAAGAGAATTTTTCTTTAAATAGAATCAAGGGTCGCCCAGGAACAGTGCATGCCCTCAATCAGGAGGTCACAGGTAAGTAGGAAGATAAGTTAAGCCTGGGTTCTTCCCAGTCCTGAGACAAAGCATTTTCTACAGTTACTGAGCTGTTGGTTAAGATCCAGAGCAGGGAAACAGAGCAACAGCACTGCAGCTCAGTACAAGTGTCAGTCAGATTCAGTCCTTGGTTTCCTGAAAAAGAAACGATTGATGCTGAAAATTGGAAATGCAGCCAGGTGGTGGTGACGGTCTATAGAGAAAGTGCCAGGGCTATTAGGGCTACACAGAGAAACCCTGTCTTGAAAACAAAAACAGAAGAACAGAAAAGAAAATTGGAAATGCATAGAAGTCACTGTCAATTGGGCCCGTGAAAGATGAGATAAAATGCGTGCTAATTATCTTGCTGGCTGGAGTCTGCGTATTATGCTGTTTGGCTCACACCATCTGGGGCAACCACTCCGGAGGGAGGATCATTGAAGTATGGCTTTTATTTTCCCTGCAGGCCGCGTGGACTCTGCCACCGAAGGATGTCCAGCCAGGATTGTTCAGGGCTTTAAAATCGGCGGTTCCCCTTCCTTCATTGTCTTGGTCACGCTGCTTCATTGTTTTCACTGTCTCGGTCTGTCCAGTCACTTACTCACAGCCTTAGCAAAATAATCAATTTTATCTTGTCCTTTCCATAAAAAAAAAAAAATGGAGATTTTCTTACTCCAAACCTTTGAGGCACCGAGAGACCAAACCCCACCCAGATTCCTTTGTATTTATGATTACTAAAATTTCATGTCTTAAATTTGTATATTTGTACAACAGAAAAATTTTCTTAAATAGCAATCTGATCAAACTTAACAGGGATTTAAAAAAAAAGAATAGGAGCAAATTGGAACCAAAAAAGAAATTTCTTCTGGATAATACGGTGGCCAAGGACTGAAAAGCAGAAGTGTAGTCGATAGGAGTTAGATTATTTGAAAGTTTTCACCTAAAATTATTTTTGGTACAGTCTGAGAATATGTGGAGTGTAGTAAGAACTAGAGCCTTCCTGCCGGGCGGTGGTGGCACACGCCTTTAATCCCAGCACTTGGGAGGCAGAGGCAGGCAGA